GCCAAAGAGATATTCCTCCTACATCCTAAAACTAAATTGCCTGCCATGGGGATATATCTTTTGTAACACATTAACAGGCCTAAGGCTAAGCAAGACAAACCTGCAGGCCCTCAATTTACACAACTATGTCTGGTAGCTTCTCTCTGATTAACAGGCTTAGTTATCTTAAAACATTCTAAGCCTTTAGACAAAAGCTTCATGTCTTTAACCAATTATAAGTCAAAGACTGTTTAAACCCACTTATAACCTGTAAGCTGCCCCCCTACACTGGCCAAATAAATGTATGCCTTCCTTGTATTGATTTAGGACTTCACCTGTAACCTTCATCTCCCTGAAATGTATAAAACCAAAGTGTAACCCAACCATTGCAAGTCCACCTGCTCAAGGCTTCTCGGACAGGGTTTCAGATCATATTCCTCAAATTTGGCTCAGAATAAACCTTTTTTTTTTTTTTTTTTGAGACAGAGTCTCACTTTGTTGCCCAGGCTAGAGTGAGTGCCATGGTGTCAGCCTAGCTCACAGCAACCTCAAACTCCTGGGCTCAAGCAATCCTGCTGCCTCAGCCTCCTGAGTAGCTGGGACTACAGGCATGCGCCACCATGCCCGGCTAATTTTTTATATATATATTACTTGGCCAATTAATTTCTTTCTATTTTTAGCAGAGATGGGGTCTCGCTCTTGCTCAGGCTGGTTTCGAACTCCTGACCTTGAGCAATCCGCCCGCCTTGGGCCTCCCAGAGTGCTAGGATTATAGGTGTGAGCCACCGAGCCTGGCCATAAACCTCTTTAAATTATTTTACAGAGTTTGGCTTCTTTTCCATTGACAAGTATAATTCTGAAAAGGGTTTTAAGAATGTGTGGCACATACAAATGCTTATTTGCTCTAGGATAAAAATCAAATTTCACCTTCCATTAAAGAGGAACACTTTCCTTAAGCAGCATGACAGGATGCCATACCTGTGTGAAGGACAGAGAACTGCAGTCTCCAGGTCTGTCACTCTGTTTCCTCCTTCCGGCACTAGGAATTTCAAATAAGAACTTCTTTTAAAGTCATAAATCACTACCCGAATACGAATATTATGACTTCAATTCAAAGTGAGTTAAAACAAGCATTTCCTTATCCAATTACATTACATAGAACAGAATTTGACATTTGCTTAAAGCTTATAAAACCTTTTTTCCTCCCTTTTTAAATTAGCCCTTATAGTGGTAGGTTCAATTCTGGTAATGAACCAGAAACCCATATCACCAATTTAGGTTTTAAACCAAGGTTTTCAAGAATTAGCAAGAAGGAATATAAATAAGTTATAATGAGGTAGCAAATTTCTGCAGCAAAGAGACCGATACATTTAAGAGCTTGCTCTGCATTTATAAGCCTGTGACTTTAGCAGCAACTTTGGGCCTCAAATTCTTCATCTGTAAAATAAAGCTAATATACCTGCCCTCTCCAGTTCATTGTGAATGACCATCGAGAAGATTAAAAAATGTGAAAAATGCTTTGTAATATAAAGCACCAATACATTGACTATTGTTATGCTAGTTCTTACTAGTATTTTCCAAACAAAATAAAGGTATCTTTCTAGCAAGATCTAATTTACATTTATTTATTCTAATGCTCATATTTTCAACACTGCCATCTTTACCCTCTGCAACCTTTTGGAAAGTGAATTTTACCCCTCAGTTCTTAAGTTAAAAAACTTAAGCATTTAGACAAAGGGGCATTAAGCTTCATCATCATTGAAATTAAGTGGAAGTAGTTCCTTTTACTTCATTAAGTTTATTTCCCCTCCCAGAAAAGAAATAAATATTGAGTTCTGTAGGAAAAGACAGACTACAGTATTTATAGACTTTGAGAAAATAACTTATCCTAGTACTCTGGGAGGCCAAGGCAGGAGGATCACTCGAGGTCAGGAGTTAGAGACCAGCCTGAGCAAAAAACGAGATCCTGTCTTTACTAAAAATAGAAAGAAATTAGCTGGACAACTAAAAATATATGGAAAAAATTAGGCAAGCATGGTGCCCCATGCCTGTAGTCCCAGCTACTCAGGAGGCTGAGGAAGAAGGATTACTTGAGCCCAGGAGTTTGAGGTTGCTGTGAGCCAGGCTGATGCCACACAGCATTCTAGCCCGGGCAACACAGCGAGGCTCTGTATCAAAAAACAAAAAAAGCAAATGGTAGATTTCAATTGTTCCGAGATCCTAACCTGAAAAATGTAAGGAGACCACATGGAATCAAAACAAGCATTTGTTGGTTTTACAATCATTCCTATATGCACCCACATATAACCACAAACCCTGCAAAGACAAAGACTGCAAGCTTTGAAAGATTACTTTCTCCTTTACTGCTCTAACTACACTCAGCTGGCAGACTTCAAGTGAGCATCAATACATGTCAAAGCATTAGAATGAAGAGATTAAGAATATAGTCCTAGTACCCTCTCATTAGATTAGGTAATGCATTTCTCAACCTTTTTAAGTGATGCCACCTTCTTGAGAAACAAAAATCACACCCTTCTATGATATTGGTTTTGTAGTAACCCAGCTTACAATTATAAGATTATATTCCTTTCTCAAAAAAAACTAATTAGAGATTCTGATCTATATCCCCCATCAACCTCCTCCAACCCCACCTCCCCACATCCAGTTCTATAGGATTATGGAAGATCCAACCAGGTTTTAAATCATTCTAGAGGACCCAGGAAACCCATTTACAATAATATCTGGGGGTTTGCGTTTTTTCTGAGAAAAGCTATCTAAAATCTAATCAAAGAAAATCTCAAAATCAATTCCACAGTTAATGCCTTTAATCCTCGCACTTTAGGAGGCTGAGGCAGGATTGCCTGAGGCCAGGAGTTCAAAACCAGCCTGAACAACAGTGAGCGAGACCCCATCTCTACTAAATACAGAAAAAATTAGCCAGGTATGGTAGTGCGTGCTTGTAGTCCCAGCTACTAGGAGCCTGGGAGCCTGGGACAGGAGGATGGTTTGAGCCCAGGAGTTTGAGGTTGCAGTGAGCTATGATGATGCCACTGCACTCTAGCCTAGGCAACACAGCAAGACCCTGTCTCAAAAAAAGAGAAAAAATTAAAAGCAAAGTCCAAATGACATGGCCTATGGCTCTAAACATAAAGTATCCTTTTACACCTTCTTCTCCCACAGCACTGGACACACCTTCTGAGAACTGGGGTTACTGACACCATTAGGATTTAATTGAACTGATCCAGAATTGAATAAAGGGCAAACTTACAAAGTTAGGAAAAAAATATCTACAAAGGTAGACACAAAGAAAGCCTTTCCCTCTACCCATATGATGTTATCCCTGCCTTCCTCCACACAAATATAACTGAAATTTTAACATAATGTTTTGATTAAAGAACACAAACTGCTTAGATGTCTCAGGCTACAAAAAACCACTGACACAGATACATGTTATGGACTTTCAATCTGCCTCCCCTCTAATAGAATCTGTGCAATAAAAGTTCAAAACCGGTCTCAGAAGGAAAAATCTGTTAACTATAGGAGCTCTTCCATTTGTCTTAATTTTGTAGTTTATTTTGTCATTGTTTTTCATTATTCCTCCCTGAAATAGAGCAAATGTTAGTTAGCAGCCACCAAAACACATCATTCTCCTGCAGCAGGTTGGCAAGAGCATCAATGAGAGGGAAGGACTGCAGAAGAAGTAAGCAGTGAAAGTAGCCAGTGATGCTCTAAGGGCAAGCATGACAAGCAGGGACACCCTCACATTACCTAGTCCCTAAATCCCTCCTCCAGAGTGGGTCAGAATAATCTCTTTCTACCACCAGTCAAAGCCAAACGCATGTTTTCCAGGACCCCATATAATTAGTTTTGAAATATCATTAGTTTAACCCAACACACCTAACTGCTCGATGGCTCTATGGATGCCTGCCCATTACAACATTATATCACCCCAGGCTGGTCCTGAAACTTATTAGCAGGAGAGAGGTGCAGTCTCGGAAACATTATTTTTTAAAAAGGAGGCAGAGAAGTGAGAGGCAGTGATCTGTGAGCCCTGAAGCAAACACAGACCGAAGGTGTCCAGAACCCCAGTACTCAGCCAGGTCTAAATCACGGTTGTGACGCTTTCCAGAACCTGAGCCAGGGAAAAAGTAATTCTCTCCACCTCCCTTCCATCAATTCTCTATATGTGGCAGCAGGAAGACACACCCCATGCCAACCTACCAGTCTCCACCTGAGGAGGATCTTCCCCGTCCTTCGGTGCCCACCCTTAACCCACGGCTCTGGGAACGCCCAGGCAGCCCAGCTTGCTTCTCTGACCCTCCTGACGCCCCCCAATCCCTTCCTGGCAGTCACAGTCACCTCTCTGGCATCTCCAACTCCTGTGTCATTAGAACACCTAGCCCTCAACGTCCTTTCACCTTCTCCCCTCTGACTCGCCTGTCCACACCAGTGTCCTCGGCCCCTTCTCAGACCCGCCATGGTCGGCCAAGGTCCCCGGCAAGGGAGGTCCCGCTCAGCCCCTTCCCACGGCGCCCCATCCTCCCCGGGCAGGTCCACGCCTCCGCCCTGACCCGGAGCCCGAGCGCCTTCGGGCCTAGTCAAGGACAACGCCTCCTCTGGCACATAACCCGCCCGCCGGCGCCTCAGCAGCCCGGCTCTCCTTCCCTGCACGGGATACTCACCCAAACGTGAACGAGCGGCGGCGGACTAAAGGAAGCGAGCCGCGAAAGGAGAGTACGCGGCGCCTCCCCTCCGCCACCAGCTTTATAGCCGCCAACCCATCCAACTCCGGCACCGCCGGGAGTCGGTGGGAGGCGGGACAGTGGCTCCAGCAGCCAATCGTGGCCTGCAGAGTAGCCGGGCAGTGCCCGCCCCCCAATCCGGCTTCTACCTATCGTAAGGAAACTAGAGGAGGTGACTCGCTAGACTTTTCCCTCGTGGCTGAAAGGGCGGGGGAAGGGGCGGGGACAAAGTCGGAGGGCCGAGGAAGTGGGGTGAGAGAGTGACGTAGGGTGGCACGAGAGCCCACCTGCCAATGACGGAGAGGCGAGAGACAGCGAGAGCCAACGGGAGCGGAGTGAGAGGTTCTCCTACCAATTAGGGCTAAGTGAGAGGAGATGAGGGCCAATGGGGACTCCGCGTCCCACCACAGGAGAGATGGTCAAGTGTGGCAGGCGAGTTGGTCCCTGCCTGAGAGAGTGTCAGGTTGCCTAGCAACCAGAGCTAGGCTTCACCTGAAAGATTTCTAAAATACTGTATTTGATTTGATTCAATCTTAACGTTTTCTAGCAAAATGTACCTGGATTACAAGTTGGAGCAGGATACTTCACCTAGAATTTGTAAGTTTGTAAATATCCTGAATACCCGATTTGTAAATATCCAATATTGTCACCTCTATTAACAATTCCCTTAAGTTAAAAAAAATTGCTATTGGGACGATTATTCCTAACTAAACCTAAAACAAGATAGTTTAGGGTTAGGCATCAGTGACGAGGGTGCAGAAGATTGCCTGAGAAGTGATGTTGATCCTGAAGTCAAAGATTTTTGTCATCCATGCATGCTGAGAAAGGGACTCCATTTGTCCTGTTCCCCATTGTATCTTCTGAGCTTGATATGTGGTAGGTGCCAAATAAAAGATTGTTGAAAGAAAGAATGGGCACCATAATCCTCAGCATAGTAAATCCACAGAGTAAGGACTGCCTAGATCCTCTAGAAAATAGAGAGGAAATCACTGAAATAACATTTGGGGGAATCCAAAGGAGGACAGTTATGGCCTTACAATTAACTCTGCCTCTGCCTAGTTTCCTAGTCAGAGAGAGAAGTCATAATACTTAGCTTTGGTGGGGGCCCATGAGCAAGACTAAGAGTTGCTTGTATCTCTCCCCATTTCAGTTTCTTTTCTATTTCTTTTTTTTTTTTTTTTTTTTGAGATAGAGTCTTACTCTGCTGCCCTGGGTACAGTGCAGTGGCCTCATCATAGCTCAGTGCAACTTCAAACTCCTTGGCTCAAGTGATCTTCTTGCCTCAGCCTCCTGAGTATCTGGGATTACAGGCTTCTGTCACAACACCTGGCTAATTTTTCTATTTTTAGTAGACATGAGGTCTTGTTCTTGCCCAGGCTGGCCCATCTATGTTTCGTTACCAAGAATGCTATTGATAAGGGGTCATTGATAATTCTGTGCTTCATACAACTACTGTTATGTGAGATTTATTATCCATTGTCAACAGGAAAAAAAAGACTAAACTCTGTAAAATAATTTTAAAGAGATTTACTCAGAGCCAAATTTGAGAATCTTGACCCAGAGCCACTCCCAAGAAGCCTTAAGCAAATGGACTCAGTATGGCTGGGTTACAGTTTGGTTTTATACATTTCAGGGAGACAGGAGTTACGGGTAAAGTCATAAATCAATATGTGGGAGGCATACATTGGTTTGGCCCAAAAAAGTGGGTCATCTCGAAGTGTGGGTTTACAGGTTATAGGTGGGTTTAAAGATTCTTTGACTTGTAATTGGTTAAAGACATAAAGTTTTGTCTAAAGGCTTGGAATGTTTGAACATAAGGACCTGTTGTTTATCAGAGATAAGCCACCAGACCTAATATTTGTTGTATAAATTGAGGACCTGCAGGTTTTTCTTGCTTAGACCTGTTTATGGGTTACAAAGGATGTCTTCAAGAAGGAAGAGAGGCATGATGAGGCATGTCTGATCTCCCTCCTCCTGGCAGGCAATTTAGTTTTGGGATATCCCTTTGGCCACCAGGGGGTCCATTCAGTCAACTGGTGGGGGGTGAGCCTTAAAACTTTATTTTAGTTCACACCACTATAGATGCTAACCTAGTTAGAGACACCTCGGTAGCAAAGTGGCAAAGTATGTTGGAAATGGAACCATTGTGAAGTGGTGGTATATGTTACTTAGGGGAAGAGGACCACTCAGTAATAGTTATCTCTGCACAATATAGCCCATGGCACTCATTCTGTTCCAGAATCAATGTCATTTCATACCTATAAAGTAGATAACAAATAGAAAGAGACGTTGCCTGACTGTGATCAACAGTAATTTGGGATGAGGGTGGGAGATTAAAATTCTTGACATATTAGAATATGTTCAAAGTCAATAAGGACAAACACAAGAAAGAAAATAGAGTCCTCAGAAAGAGACAGCAAATAATTTCAACTCCAAGTGTACAAAATAGGAAATGATTAGCCAAATAATCATGAGGATGACCATCTTATACAACTGGAAATTTCCACAAGGCACAGACTGTCTTTTTGATCAAATTAATCTTCAATTAAGCAAAGTACACATTATTGATTTGGGGGAAGCTGAGCAATGGACAACAAAATGGATAAGTAATTAGATTTAGAACATCCCAATTGAATTTTAAAACACCGGACTCTGGGATCCTGTGAAATACAAAAGTAGATTATACCAGCCTACACAAAAGTCAGCTATGGCCCATGTAATTGAGGACAAAATATACATATATTTATGATGCAAAGGACTGCAAGTTTTTTGAACCATGATTGATACAAACACAGTGAAGCCAATGTCATCCTTGAATGTGCTTCTTATGACATATTAAAATATATGTTTTATTGTTTCTAAATTTAATGCCAAGTATTATTGGTCAAGCACTACAGATCCCATACTTCAAAGGTAAAGTATAATTTATTGTACTAACCTACTTTGAAAAAAAAAGAAACTTCTTAAGAGGCAGGAAGATATTATAATGATAATATTTAGTATTATAAATTCATCTCTTGCACATCCATTTACTTTTTACCTGCTTTGCAGCAGGGATTATATGAAACCCAGCAAAATCCCTCAAGACAAGTACAAGCTACAGGTGGCATTTCAAAGGTAGCTGGCACAAAGTGAGAGGTGCTATAAATGTAAAATACACATTAGAATTTAAAGACTTAGTCCAAAAAAATGTTTAATCTCATTAATAATTTTTATATTGATTACATGTAATAATATTTTGATTATATTGAGTTAAATAGAATATAGTATTAAAATTAATTTTACCTGTTTCCTTTGAGTTTTTAATGTGCCTACTAGAAAATGTAATGTGGTTACTTGAAAATGCGGCTCTCATTTGTGCTGAAAATAGGAATACATCATTGGAAGATACAGATTCTGTCCTCAAAGAGTGCATAGTCTAACGAGTAGAGGAGAGGGAAGAAAAGAAAAATAAATATGGCAAGGGGCTGGATTTCATATATTAATAAAACTCAAAAGCAAAAAAGTAAAAAGGCACCTATCTTTACTTTTTGTAAGGAAAAAGTCTCTATCTTTACAGTCTCTATCTCACTAGATAATGGGTGGGAGGAGGTGGAGTGGAAAGAACCTCAAATTTGTCAATTAAAGATATCTCTGCCTCTTCCAGTTTAAATAGCTTAATTTTGCCTAAATATTAGTCAGTTCAAAGTTTAATTCCCTGTCAGGGCTATTTCTCCTCAAACCCTCTACCTGACAAGATGGCATCTGGGTTTTACAGAGCTGACTGGGTTGATGTTACATCAGAAGAGAGCGCTCAGCCCCACATGTGGGTTCTTGTATTGGCTCTTTGCTGACCAGGACCCTGCTTTGGCCCTCTCTGTGTTGCGGATTCCTAAGGCTCACAACAGCTTTCATTTGATGCCCTACCCAGCAGTCAGCCCTCAGTTAGAGGCTCACTGAGCCTTTTTTGCTACAAATCCCTCAACACTGCCAACCATGACATGAGTAACTTCTATAGTCCTTCCACACCACTCAGGAGCTGAGGGAGGCTCAGGGCCTAGTCAACACCTGACTGCACAATGACACCATTCTACTCTACTGCTATTCCAAAGTAGGCTTGTGGTTCCCAAGGAGATATTCTCCTCTCTCCAGACCCCTGGAAAGTTCTGAGTTAGAAATGGATTGAAAAGTCCACTGATTTAGCATTCCCACACTGACAACCCAGTATTATTTTCAACACTGCTCCCCTTTAGGGTTTTACCTCTTATCCTTCCTCTTTCCCATCATGCCTCTGAAAGGATTGCTACCATGGGAGGATGCATAAGAGGTATTTTTAAAAATCACAATTAGCAAGTACACTATAATTCAAGTGCTAACACCAAGAAACATGCCCAAAGGATAATGGAAGGTCAAAGGAAAAGTATCTAATCCAGCCTGGTAGTTAAGGAAGGCTTCCCAGAGCAGGTGATAGGTACTCATTTATCACATTCATAAATCTTTGTTGAACACTACTGTGTGTCAAGCACTGTTCTAGATTCAACAGCTATGTGTGGTTAAAAAAAAAAAAAAGACAAGTTCTGATCCATTCAAGCTTAGTGGGAGAAGACAGAACATTATGTAAGAAAAATAAATGAGCTGACATTTCTTCAGGTAGTGATGAGCCGATGAAAAAAACAATGCAGTTAATGGGATAGAAAATGACTGTGGATTGGATGGTAAGTGCATGAATTGACCAGGAATGCTCTCTCTCTGAAATAGTGACACTTAAGCTGAGATTAAAAGATGAGAAGCAGCCAGTCTAGGAAGCTCTGGGGGCAAAATGATGCAAGGGAGGGACCAACAAGGGCAAAGGCCCTGAGACAGGAACAGGCTCAGCCTGTTTGAAGGACAGCAAACAAAGTTCCATGTGAGTTTTGAAGGACAAACAAGAATTATCTGAGTTGTGTACCAGGGGCAAGAGGAAAAGGAGGGGGATGGAAAGTCATTTCAGGGAGAGGGATCTATAAACTGCACAAAATGGGAACTGAAATTTTAATCAATAGTGATAAAGTAAGTCAAAGTTGTGTTAAGTAACAGTGAAACCTCCCATATGCTGTGTTTTTCAGGTAACAAGCAGTGTTAATGGAGTAGGGTACAATGTTTTCTCTATACCATTGGCAAGAAAAGGAGTGAGTTCAATGGGGTGTCCTCCCACACTATGATCCTGAGAGTAATCTACTTCTCACTTGTCAACATTTGTAATGAGTGTTTACTGAGTGTATACTATTTTCTGGAGATTGTAATAAGTCTCTTATATACATTATCCCTCCCATCAGCCCCACTGGGTAAGCCCAATTTGCAAACGAGGAAACTGAATCACAGAGAGGTTAGGTAACTTGTTCCAAATTACTACTCAACTACAAAGTAGCAAAACTGGGATTTAAACCTAGATTTTCAGATGTCAAAACCCATGTTCCTTCCATTATTCTATGTAGAAAAACATACATCTTTGTGCTTAAAGATAGGGTGGATTGGATTGGAGTGGTAGATGCTGAATAAAGGAAGGTAGGTAACTTCTCCCAAAAGGCCTCAGAGGACAGCATTTATTACACTGGGGAATCTTACCATAGAAAAGGCTT